CGGTATGCCTAAATTATTTTTTTAATTTAATATTTGGCCTTAATGTGCAAATTTGAATTCTGTTCAGTTGTTTCTTGCCTAAATTATTTTTTAAATTTATTATTTGACCTTAATGTGCAAATTTGAATTCTGTTCAGTTGTTTATATCTAACAAGATAGGTATGATTTTGAGTTCTTTCACAAACACTATATAACCAAAAACCAAACCAAACTCACTGCCATCGAGTAGATTCTGACTCATAGTGACCCCGAGGCAGTAAACTTTTTGTTGTTGTTATATGCCTTCGAGTCAGATCTGACTCATAGCGACCCCTCTTGGGTTTCCAAGGCGCTATCACTACAGAAGTAGATTGCCCAACCTTCCTTCCGAGGAGTGGCTGGTGGGTGAACCGCCAACCTTCTGGTTAGCAATCAAATGCCTCAGGCACTACGCTACCAGAGCTCCTAGTAAATCTTTATGGAAGTAGATTGCCCAGTCTTCCTTTTATGGGGTGATTGGTGGGTTTGAACCTCCAGACTTCTGGTTCGCAGTCAAATGCCTTAGGCACTATGCCACCAGAGCTCGTTAAACACGATATAATATTTATAAGTATCGGCTAATGCTTTTAGTTAGATTCAGAGCCTTGAGTGTGCAAAATCCATCGTAGAACAGCTAGAATAAATCTTACTCATGAAACTCAAGATATTTTGTATCTTTCCTACCCTTAGCCCCAACCCCATGTTTAATACTAAAATCATTTATATAGTGTTTTGTAATTTTTAAGTTTCGAGTGGAGGGTGAAAATAGTACTGACATTAAGTATCCAGAGCTCTGGTGGCATAGTGGTTAAAGCATTTGCCTGCTAACCAAGAGGTCGGTGGTTCAAACCAACCACCCGCTCCATGGGAGAACTATGGGGCGGTTCTACTCTATCCTGTAGGGTCACTATGAATTGGAATCAGCCTGATGGCAGTGGATTTTCTTTGGTTTACCAGGCATGATACTAGGTGCTCTTTGTACATTTTCTCATTTAATCCTCAAAACTTGGTGTGATCAGTGACAGTTATCCCTGTTTTGAAGTTTAGAAGTAAAGTTGCTACGTGATGGTATTAGAAAAAAAATGTCTTAAAACTCAAATACATGCCAACTCTCAGTAAGTGATCAGTAAATGCTAGAATGAAACCATGTAGCGCAGTTATATGATTTATTCATTTGAGACCCTTATTTTGTAGAACTTGCTTTGGTAACAATTCCTGAAATTCAGTAAGGATATCAGTTTTCAAAATTGATTTCACTTTTATTGCCTGTTTCAATTACTGTGTCTGTATAATCAAATTAAGTGGTTTAAAACAATGGGGGGTTTTTGCTCACAGACGTTGTGGGTCAGGAATTCAGACAAGGCACAGGTGCCTCAGGCCTCAACCAGAAAAACAAGTCTGGGGTCTGAAATCCTCTGAAAGCTTTTTACTCATAAATCTCAAACCAGAAAACCAAACTCACTGCCTTTGAGTTGATTCTGACTCACTGTGACCCCCTTTGAGCTTCCAAGGTGGTAAATCTTCACGAAAGTAGATTGCCCAATCTTCCTTCCATGGAGTGGCTGGTGGGTTTGAACCACCAGCCTTCTGGTTAGCAATCAGATGCCTTAGGTACTACGCCACCAGAGCTCCTGTGTAGCATAAAAAGAGGGCCAAAAACAGAACTCTGGGGGAACAACAGCATTTAAGAGATGTATAGAACCAGGGAGGAGGAGGAGGATAGGCTTTTGGAGCAGCAAGAGATGTTGGAAGAAACCTAGTAGAGAAGTATCACAGAAACCAAGGGAGGCAATAATTTCAAGAGGTCGCCAGTTTTGAATGTCTGCATTTATTATTTTGGCAAAGTCAGTGGAATGATAGGATCAAAAACCAGATTAAAGTGCAATTCAGAAATGCCATAATATGGGGAGAGCAGTTAGAACAAGAGGACATGAATACACCAAAGGATTAAGTTATTAATAAAATGAAGTCTCTGAGGAGATGGGAGAGGAGAGAATCCAAAGGATTGGTCTTAGATGGATGGAGGTATACCACATTTACTGAAACATGACAGAAGAATTCACAAAGGAAGACACTAATATACATGTCTTCTCATTTAATGTTTATAACATTTTGTTTTATGTGGAATGCATAGTTCCCTGCTTTATCAGTGAGGAAATTAAGGCTAAGGGAAGTTAGCTAGTCTAGGGTCACATATCTTATAAGCAGTGGAACTAGTGTTGTTAGGTGCCATCAATTCAGTTCCACCTTATAATGACTCTTTGTACAACAGAACAAACTACTCAGTCCTGGACCATCCTCACACTCATGCTCTGCTTGAGCTCATTGTTGCAGACACTGTATCAATTCATCCACTAAGCTAAGGGTCTTCCTCTTTTTCCCTGACCCTCTGCCAAGTATGATGTCCTTCTCCAGGGACTAGGCCCTCCTGACAACATGTCCAAAGTACGAGAGACGAAGCCTCGCCATCCTCAAGTTTACAGAGCATTCTGCCTGTACTTCTTCCAAGACAGATTTGTTCATTCTTCTGGCAGTCCGTAATATTATTCAGTATTCTTTGCCAATGCCATAATTCAGTTGCTAGTACCTAAACCCAAGTTTTGTTTTTGCTGTGCTCCTCCATCCCCTTCCCCACTGTTACCATGCTGGATATTAATGCCAATAAGTTTGTCAGGTATGGTAGAGACCTAGAAGATAATGTTACTGTATAGACCCATATGAACAGATAATAAGTTCTGAAAATGAAATGGAATTATTTTTTCTTCTAAGGAAATTCTTTAAAAAAAACATACACAAACAAATGTTTAATAAAGTAAATATGTATAATACACATTATAATGAAATTACATCCTTTTGTTAAATCTATATTTTAGCTAAACTGAAATAATGACAGGTTTTTAAGGGGGAGAAAAATCTTGTGTGGGATGTGGAGAGGGTGTTAGGAAGAATCTAAGAAGACTCTTGTAAGATTATTAATTTTAAAACATTATGCTGAGTCAAATAAGTCGGCTGCAGAAGGACAAATACTGCATGAACCCATTACTGTAAAAAGACAAAGAAGGGTTTGCTTGAGAAAGGGAACTCACTTTGTAGATTACCAAGGTGGGGAGGGAAAAGGAGGGATTAATTTCAGGCTAGTTGGGGGCCACATGCTGACGTGGGTAAGGGGAGGGATGGAACAAAAAGAGTCTGTAACCACCATGATAGTATTAGGAAAAGGGGGGACACCAAATTGTGCACATAAGATATAGACAGCAGATGCTGATACCAACCAGTATCCACAATACTGCATTACCATTAACACCAAACATTAGGCTACAGATAAACACATAAACATCTGAGAAGATCACATGAGGGTCAGTGAACAGGATTATACTCTAGACCAAGGATAGATTCAGCTGAGGCTAATCTTTCACAGATACCAGTGATACAAAATACCCACAGTCCTTACAGAAACAAAAGAAGACAGACAGAGAGTAATCCCTCACAGACAGCCAGACACTGTGGGAGAGAGATCCAATGGACCTACCAACTCAGGACCATAGTATTGGTGGACACCAGACTCAATTGGCACAACAAAATACATAAAAGTCTTGTTCCTCATCCTACATTGGTGAGTAGTGACTAGGGTCTTAAAAGCTTTCAAGTGGCCCTCTAAGATGCAGCTACTGGTTTCCTATTGTTGGAAGCGAAGAAGAGTGCAAAAATGCAAGGGCATTTTGAAGCAATCAGTCCTAGGACACGATGGCCCTTGAGACCAGAAGAACTAGATGGTGCCTGGCTACCAATACCAGCCACTCAGGAAAGGATCAAATCTGGAGCTCCTGGATAGAGTAGGAGGGAAAACGTGGAACAAAAGCCAAAAACTCAGTAATGACTAGAATTACTGGTTGGATGGAGTCTGGTGAGACCCTCAATTCTATGACCCTGGGATACATTCTGGGCTTGGAATAAAACTCACTCCCAGGGACTGGTTCTCAGCCTAATAGTGAAAAAGATGTACATGCAGACCACTCAACCCAGTGTGATGTGCACACATACTGTATGGAAATGCATCCTTTGGAGCAGTCAGCCATGGGGCACCAGAGAGGCAACATTTGCGTGGAGAAAAAGCAGAACACACAGGAGTTCATAACTATGAGGGGAATGGGGCAGGGGTGGGGGGTTATTAGGCAGGGAGGGAGGAGACTGGGTTAGGTTTGAGGATGGTAAATGGAGAGTGAAACTAAATGTATGCGTAATGTTGAAGGTAAAACAAACTGCTCTGTAAGCTTGCACCTAAAACACAATTTAAAAAAAAAAAATTGCTAGGTGAACATGAGGAGCTCTGGTGGTATAGTGCCTAAGGCACTTGACTGCTAACCAGAAGGCTGGCGGTTCAAACCCACCAGTCACTCAGAAGGAAGGTTGGGCAATCTACTTCCTTAGTGATACTGCCTCAGAGACCCAAGGAGGGGTTGCTATGAGTTGGGTCCGACTCGACGGCAAATAACAACAACAAGGTGAACATGGCATAAGTGAACAGAAATATACCCTAGGCCAAGGATAGGTTTGGCTGAAGAAAAAAAGAAAAACATACACACACAAACAGATGTTTAATAAAGTAAATGCGTATAATATATACATTATAATGAAATGACATCTTTTTGTTAATTTGTATTTTAGCTAGACTGAAATATGACAGGTTTTTAAGGGGGGAAAAATGCTTGTGTGGTATGTGGAGGGACTGTTAGGAAGAACCAAAGAAGACTCTTAGAAGATTATCAACTTTAAAATAATTATGAATTTTTCTCCAAATGAAATATTTCAGTAACTTGTCTTCAATGTGTTAGCTTTTCACAACCTCAATTTCCCCTTTTGTATATGGCAGTTCCACTCTGTCCTAAAGGGTCAGTGAGTCTGAGTCGACTCAATGGCAATGGGTTTGGTTTGGTACAATGTAAATATGGGATTATACTTTATTTCTCATTCTTTATTCTCAGATACCTGCATTCGGGGCAGAGTTTTCATCTGAGGCATGCAGGGAGTTAGGCTTCTCCAGCAACTTGCTCTGCAGCTCTTGTGATCTTCTTGGACAGTTCAGCCTGCTTCAGCTGGATCCTGATTGCCGAGGATGCTGTCAGGAAGAAGCACAATTTGAAACAAAAAAGGTATTGTTTTCTAGTATATCTCTTCCGTTAGATGGTCTGATTAAGAGGAGGTAAAATGAATAAATTGCTTAATTGACCTAAAAAACTCTCTAGCTTCTACAGTTTTTAGTTTTAGAACCTCAGTTGATGTCTTACCTAGCCAGTTTGCTCAATCCAAGCAAATAGGAAGAAAAAGTATTGTTACATATCAAGGTCTCATTCCACCATGGTTGTCTAGCAAAAGGGGTCACAGAACCACTATAGGACATTTGGATACTGTAGCTTGCCAATCTTTCTATCTTCTGGACAGATGAAGCACCAGAATAATGAGTTGCTTTTATTTGTTTATAATAAAAACCATCTAGTCCACCCAATATTATGGTAAAATTTGAGATTAAAATAAAGCACCTTATACCTGGCACATAACTAGTCAACAATAAATTACATAATTTTTAGTGTAGAAAAAAAGGATGTGGTCTGTTAATTTACACGACTGTTACTAATATTTGAAGACACTTCACCTTTAACTTTTGAAAATTGAGCCAAGGGTAATTTTAATTATCCAGTTAAAATCTGTTTTGAACCTTTTGCTGAAATTGACAAGTGAACTTGTCAATTTTTCAATCTTCTCATTAAAATCTTTGTTGTTGTTAGGTGCTTTTGAGTCAGCTGCGACTTACAGAAACCCTGTTTACAACAGAATGAAACACTGCCCAGTCCTGTGCCATCCTCACAATCCTTGCTATCCCTGAGCCCATCGCTGCAGCCACTCTGTCAGACCATTTCATTAGGGTCTTGCCCTTTTTCATTGACCCTCTACTTACGGAGCATGATATCTTTCTCCAGGGAATGGTCCCTTCTGACAACATTAAAACCTTGAGATTTCTTTAAATCATAAATAGACCCGCAAGATAATTTATATTAATTGATAAAACTGACTTAGTAAGGTCCCTGTGTTTGGCATGAGAAGATTTTAGCATCTTTGTTCATTTTTTCCTTTTCATATTCTCTTCATTTGTATATACTGAAGTCTATTCCAGATGCTACAATTTATAAAGCTTTCAGATAGTAACTATCTTATTGTCAGGTCAGCAAACCAAACCCATTGCCATCTAGTTGATTCTGACTTAGGTAACAAAGGTTTAGTCTTAACACTAACTATAGTTTTATGTTTCTAAAAGAAAAAACAATCAGACAAGATTTAAAGACAAGATTTAGTACTTAGTTTCTCAATATTGTAAAGCAGGTATTCCCAGTGCTTTAAAAAAGCCATGCAAAGGCTTTCCTCTTTTTCTCTATTCTGGTTCATATGCCAATAGTATATTTTGATATTTAGAAGATTTCTTTACACACAAGTCAGTCTTTAGTGCATGTAAATAAAATCTAGACAGCAAGTTTTAAAATTTTGATTTTAAATTAAGACGTAGGACTTCGCTGGCATAGTATAACCTTTCCTTGTTTTTTTGATGAGATATATTGGCATGGGACAAAATGTCTAAAGAATCTGTATGAGTCATCCTCTCCATCTATCTTTAAGCTATTATTCTATGCATTGTACTACTGTATACCCAGCAATGACTGTCGCTGAGGCACTAAGCTTATAAAGATTGAATAAAAAGGTATGTTTTATAATAAGCAATCTTTATCATCCTTCCCCCTTGCAATTAAGAGTAACTTAAGGAGTTTTGCTCTTTGATTCAAGTCCCTGGATGGCACAGACATACAAGTGCAAAGCTACTACTCAAACGGTTGGTGCTTCCAGTTCACAGAGAAGCAGTTTGGAAACATCTGGCAATCTCAAAAAAATCTGATATTGAAATCTTGTGGAGCACAGTTGCACTCTGACAAAGTAGTGTTTACATGAGTCAGGCCAACTCCATGACAGTTAACAATACCCTTTGATTGGTGTCAAATGTGTCTAAACTGTGAAACAAGCACAGGCATTCCATGGGTTCCTGACTGTGTCCTTAAGGAGCTCTGGTAGCACAGTCTCTAAGGCATCTGACTGCTACCCAGATTGTTGGTGGTTTGAACCCACCAGCCATTCTGCAAAAGCAAGACTGGGCAAACTACTTCCATAAAGATTTACCACCTCAGAAACCAATAGGAGTTGGCATGAGTCGAAATTGACTTGATGGCAGTGGGTTTGGGTTTTTTTGTTTTGTTTTGTTTTTTCCCAGTGTCCTTAATAATTTGTAGGTCAGTCAGAACAGATGGATATGGTTCTTACTTAGTCTTAATTTAATACAAGAAAAGGCTCAAATCCTTTTCATTGATCTAAGAGCTGCACTGCAGCAGGTGAAGGTGATTATGATGAATTTGTGGTTGAAGAAGGTGGTTCAGTCAGAAGTGAGGGCAAATTTGCCTAGCATTAAAGGGCAAGTAAGAACTGTCCATAAGTTGTTCCTAACTCGGGGACTGCATGTACATATAAAAGCTGTTTTTACTTACTGCCTTTTCTTGGTAGCTTTTCATAATATATCCCAGTTTTGTGATAGTTTTACTGAAGCTAAACTTAAAACATCCACTAAAAAACCAAAACCCACTGCCGTTACATCAATTCCAACTAATAGCGGCCCCCATTGGGTTTCTGAGGTGGTAAATCTTTACAGAAGTAGATTGATTGCCCAGTCTTGCTTCTGCGGAGTGACTGGTAGGTCTGAACCATCAAACTTCTGGTTAGTAGTCAGATGCCTTAGGCACTGTGCTACCAGAGCTCCTTAAACACACACTTCTAAAATTAATTGTATTCTTTCCTGTTTCGTTTTCATTATTAACTGAGCTGTGTGTGATATCTTTATACGTTTCAGCATTTATAGCTCAGCAATAATAGTAGGCAAATAGTCTACCAGGTAATATATGCCCAACTAATTACAAGCTGGAGTGAATATTGTAGTAAATAAAAGTGAACTCTTCTAATATACCTGTTAGCTAAATCCAGGGTTGGTTGATTTGTTTTTCTTTGCTCCTAGCCTATAAGCTCCAAGATAAATGTACTTCTCATGAAGCATTTTCTGCCACTGCTATGAGTGGGAATTGACTCAACACCTACTGGCCTATTGGTTTGGGGTTTTGTGTGGTATTTTGTTTGTTTTTAACATACTGCTTCCATTGCTATCAAGTCCATTCCAACTCATAGTGACCCTATAGGACAGAGTAGAACTGCCCTAGAGGATTTCCAAGGCCATGATATTTACAGAAGAAGACTGCCACATCTTTCTCCTACGGAATAGCTGGTGGGTTAGAACCACTGACCTTCAATTAGCAGCCAAGCGCTTAACCACTGCACCAACAGGGACGACCAAAGAAGAATTGATGGATTTGAATTATAGTTACCAAAGAATGTTGAATATACCATGGATTACCAGAAGAACAAATAAATCTGTTTGAAAGAAGTACAGCCAGAATGCTCCTTAGAAATGAGTATGGCAGGACTTGGTCTCATGTACTTTAGACACATTATCAGGAGAGTTCTGGTTTCCTAGTGCCACTCTGACAAGAATATACCACAAATGGGATGGCCTTAACAAACAGGAGTTTATTCTCTCACAGTTTGGAGGCTTTAAGTCCAAGTTCAAAGTGCCAGGCTCTAGGGGCTGTGTGAAAGCCTCTCTACCTTGGGCTTCAGCTCTGCCTCTTGCTCCCGGCCCACTGAAGCTAGAGGCATCTCTTCACTCAGGCAGCTACTGGCTGCTGAGGCTAAGAATCCCAAAGTCGACAAATAAAAAGGTGCAGTCCCCGTGTTACCAAACCACACGGCAGGCCATTAATTCAATTCCATTGAAAGTCCCAAGGTCGGCAGAGCATGGCAGGCTGCTAACAACGACATGCCTACATGCAGGGTCCAAGCGTGCCATAAGCTAGAGACCTTTCCCCAGGGCTTCTGCTTATTTACAGGAAGCAGACCACCTCCCTAAGGCGGCTACTCAGCTGCTCCCAGTAGCCACCATGGAGTTGATTACCGGTCTCATCATGGGGAATACTACATCCAGCTGCCCAGCCACTCAATCAGACCCAGCCAAGTTGACATACAAACTGAACTACCACAAGGAGGGACCAGTCCCTGGAGAAGGACATCATGCTTGGTAAAATAGGTGGTCAACGAAAAAGAAGACCCTCAATGAGAGAGATTGACACAGTGGATGCACATTTGGGCTCAAGCACAGCAATGATTGTAAGGATGGTACAGGACTGGGTAGTGTTTCGTTCTATTTATATAACCAACACAAGGACACCTAACAACAAGTATACTATTTGCATAAAACTTGTCAGTGTTTTTCTTTAAGGAACCTAGTGTCACCAATCAGGAGCTCTGGTAGCGTAGTTGCCTAAGGCACTTGACTGCTAACCAGAAGACTGGTGGTTCAAACCCACCAGCCACTCCTTGGAAGGAAAGTGGGGCAACCTACTTCCGTAGCGATACCATATCGGAAACCCAAGGAGGGGTCACTATGAGTCGGATCCGAGTCAATGGCAAATAACAACAACAGTGTCACCGATACATATCAAGAAGATTGGAAACATAAAAGTATTGCATGTTGGCCAGGCCCCCATCTAGATGCAAATCATGTTTAAGTATAGGAATAAAACTCGATTTAATCTGTGTAGTACTGCTGTCTGAGTTATTGGTACATAATCATAGGTAATGTAGTATATGCTATATTTTATTCATTTAACTCTCACTGAAGACTTAATTCTGAAATGATAGTTTAATTTAGCTATAGTTTTATAATAAAAGTAAAATTTTACAGTATAGACCACTGGTTTACATCAAAAACATTAATGCTTATACATGACTGTGTGTGTGTAAATCATTGTGAATATAAATTCTTTATAAGAGAAAATTACAGTTTATATACAAAAATGTTTAGTCATTTACATATAATAAATATTACCAAAACATTAACTTTGGCTCTGTTACATGCTTTATCAGTCTGTCTAAGGATAAGGCTAATCATTTTTATGAATACTTAATCATTTAAGCAGAATTCTGCTTATGGTAGCAAGAAACCTAAAATTTCCTTTTTAAAAACTTTTTCACGATGTTGTTGTTGTTGTGTGCCATCAAGTCGGTCCCGACTCATAACGATAGAAACAAAAAATATATTTGAAATCCTTTGTCATTCTGCAAGTAGCTATTCTATTCTTTTTATTTGGTCTTGTTTTTCTCTCCATTTGATCATAAAGGACCCAGTATTTCAAATACTGGCTAGAAAGAGACTTGTTAAGCTATTTTACTACAATTTTAACTGTCTTTACTCAAAGCTACTAAATACCTAGGTACAGTTGAGTTTCATCTTAGCTTCATTGCCTACTGGCTGTGTAACTTTGAGTAAGCAAATAATACCTGGATCCTGAGTTTTGTCTTAATAATTTCATTGGCTCACCTTTGAGTGTGTGGTTTTGGGCTGATTCTTTGCCAAGTATTCCACTTAAATTATTTGCTTAATTCTCCCAGCAATCCCATGATTTAAGTATTATTATCTCCGTTTTAAAAAGATGAAACCAGGGGTTCAGGGAGGTTAAGTAATCTGCCCAAAGTTACCTATCAAGTAGGTACCAGGTTTCCTGGTTTTATCCCGGGTATTTTTGGCTCCAGAATTGAAAGTTTTCAACCTCTATACTGTTTTGCCTCTCATCTTGAAAATTTTACTATAATACCTATTTCACAGAATTACTGCAAGAAGACTCACCTGGACTAGGTTTCTGGGGGTCCCTTTCCATTTATAATTAAGTTTTAAATTCACAAGTCTTTATTCCTCAGTTTACCACAGATTTTAACGGCTCCCATTATTTGGAATTATTTAAGAATATACAGTGTTACCAAATTTGACTTTAAGGCCCAACCAAACAACATTTTAAATGGATCGTACAGTTTTTCTTAATTCCAGTAAAAGAGCATCAAAACATTGTTATTTCCAATTTGTACAGAAATGATAAAGCCAATTTCATAGTAATTCAGAAGGCAACTTAAACAGCATTATTCAAGACACTGGCAAATTTTAAGCTTTAGCCTGTCAGAAACAGAACTCTAGTGGTATGTAAAACATAGAAGGATGAAATGTAGGTTAGCTAACTGTGTGAAATTATAGTCACTAAAGAAATTTCACAGTTGCTTAAAATAGCTTTGCTTTTATAGTCTGTCTGCAGTATCAATATGTGAACTGATTTCTTCAGAGGAAACAAAAATATAAATGTCTTTAACAGATTATAGAAAACAAAAATATTGTTCACAAAGAAGCTTTTTTTAAAAGCTATGAATAATATTTGGCAGCAGTTGGGCAATTTCCGTTTATTGCTAAACATCCTGAGTAGCAACAATACTAGATAATGGCACAAATACTACTAATAATAGCCACTGACATTCATTGAGTTATATATGAAGGCATTGTTGCAAGTACTTTACATGAATTGATTTATATAATTTTTACAAGTCTGAGATAATTATCATTATTTTCCACATTTTATAGTTCAGTAGTTTGAGGCATAGAGCTCTTAATTGCCCAAGATCACATAACTAATAAGTGTAGGTATGTTCCTAGAACATATATTTGTGTATGTAGCATTTCTGTAGCTTTTTTTATGGAGTTACTTAATTCGGTTGAAAATATTTAAATTTATTAAAATTAAGATCACCTTCTATCTAAATATAATAAAACATTCTTTACATTAGTACGTTGTAATATTTAAAAAAGAAGTAACCCTTAAAGTTATTAAAGAGCTATCTCTAGGCTACTGTACAACTACACCTCCTATATATTTCTTAGTAAAGGTATTGTTGTTATTATGTGCTGTCAAGTCGGACCTGACTCGTAGTGACACCTCCTACAGAAGTAGATTGCCCAACCTTCCTTCCGAGGAGTGGCTGGTGGGTTTGAACCGCCAGCCTTCTGGTTAGCAGTAAAATGCCTTAGGCACTATGCTACCAGAGGTCCTAGTATAGGTATAGGTATAAGAATGCCAAAATAAGACAAAAGACACTGCCTCAAAGAATGGAAAAACAGACATGAACTGGACTGCTAGAATGCAGTCAGCAGGATATTCTATGATTGTTAGACTAAAACATAATATCCAGTGCTTTGAAGGTAACCACTAAAAGAATTAAAAATAGAATAAACAAAAATTGGAAGGATGGAGGAATCAAAGATCTCTTAAAGTTGATATATCGGGAACCATGGATATAATCATATTAATCATTGTGTGACAGAAGAACTAAAAACACAAGCATTTTAAAGGTTGTTGTGTAGTGGGTAGAAGGCAGACAAGGAAGATTTTTTACTTATTTTACTAAATTTTACTTATTTGATTCCCTTGTAAGGAGTTCTGGTGGCATAGTGGTTAAAACATTGGGCTGCTGAGCAGAAGGTCAGCAGTTTAAACCCACCCACCAGCAACTCTAATGTAGAAAGATGAAGCACTCTGCCTCCATAAAGATTTATAGCCTTGGAAAGCCAATGGAGCAGTTCTAGTCTGTCCTATAGGGTCACTATGAGTCAGAGTCAACACGATGGCAGTGAGTGGGTACTATTTGTTTTTGTATTATTCCAGTCATATAGATTTCTTTATAGAATTCAGTGAGATGTGCTGGAAACAAAACATACACATGTGGTATGAAAGCACACAGGAGGAAGGGTTTAGCCATTTAGCGGGTCAAGTGAAACACCACATTTTTTTTTCCCCACAGGAGTTGATGCTTAATGGTAAGTTGGAAAGTGATTAGGTGAAGAGGCTCCCTACCCAAGTGAAAAAGTTAATTAAAGGGCACAGAGGTATGAGAGAATATAGCCATCTAACATAAATCAGACAGCTTGGTTATGATAAAAGATGGTAATAGTTAGATACATAAATGTCGGATGATGTAGGGTCTTGTGGGCCTTGATTAGAAGTCTGGACTTTATCCTAGGTAGTGGACCAAATCAAACAACTATTATCAGTGACGTGATGACAGATTTGTATTTTAATAACTTTTTCTAGTGGTGTGAATGATAACTGATAGGGCAAAAGGGAATAATGTTGCCAGAAAAATACTGCCATTTTCCAGAGCAAAGTTACAAGGGCTTCAGCCAACACACTGATAGTGAAAACAGAGAAGGGGCAGATTTGAAAGAGATTTAGACAGTGAAATCTATACTTTATAGACTAACTGGATTTGGGGGCTGGAGACAGGGATGCATGAAGATGCTTCCCAGTGTTCTAATTTTATTTTTACCATTGAAACTGTTTAAGCTGAGTTCATTGCAGTTAGGCATTTGCATTTTTTATAATGAGTTTTCACTATAAAGAAAATGTGCAGGATAGAAATGCAATATTTACCATTGAATCCAATTCAGTTCAATTTTATTAAAATATTTGCATTTAAGTTCTTTATAATTAGATTTTACTGGTTTTCCTATATCTTTGCACAGTATTTGCTATACTTTTAAAAGGTATTGGGTTTTTGTTCTGTTTAATTGATTTCATTTTGTTTTATTTAATCACTTATGGTAAAAAGCAATGAGAAAAAATTTATATTAAGTATCTATGGTGGAAGGAACCCTGGTGGAGCAGTAATTTCAGTACTCAGCTGCTTGCCACAAGGTGATGGTTTCAACTTACTAGCCGCTTCACTAAAGAAAGATGTAGCAGCATCCTTCTGTAAAGATTTGAAGCCTTGGAAGTCCTAGGGGGCAGTTCTGTTCTGTCCTGTAGGAATCAGAGTTAACTCAACAGCATCAGGTTTAGTTTTGATATCTAGGGTAGATGGATACATGCCTATGTTCAATTTAATACTCTTTAAAAAAAAAAAACTGTAGGAAATCTTTAAGACTTTGTAAATAGCTTCCTAGAACATCTTAACTATTGGAGTTTATTGTCAAGTCTCCATATTGCCTTTGACTGGATTTAGGAATACCTCTAAGTAGTGCTTAAGCTCCTCCACCTAGAGGAGCCATTTAGTATCCTTGGGTTTGCTTCCTCTTCTGTTAGACTGGAGCAAGATCGTCCTATTTAGTAATTTGTACCTCTTTGTGATCTATGCATCTGCTTAACTGTGACATTTATGCTGTGCAGTTTTATAAATACTTTTAAAATTATATCATTTTTCTTTTTAATAACTGTGTTTTCCTTTTTATAGTTGTATGCAGGAGCTATTCTTGAGGTCTGTGGATGAAAATTGGGGAGGTTCCCACAAGTCCAAGGTATATAAATTTAACTAGTAAACTTTCAATTTTATCATTTAACATGAACATTTCATAAGAAAAGTTTCATGAAATACTCCCAGAAGTAAATATTTTTAGGATTATGCTTTTCCAATAGCCTATGAATCTTTTCTCACTCTCTTTTTTTTTTTTTAAACAGAAGTGGAATCTTTTTAAATGAGTACTAAGTTACTTTAGAAGCCCTGGTGGCACAGCAGTTAAAGTGCTGTAAGAAATCTTTATAATTAAAGATTATGCTTATAATCTAAAGGAAAGGCTGCCAACTGAAAGGTTGATGGTTTGAACCCCCTAACCACTCTGCAGGAGATAGATATGGCAGTCTGCTTTTATAAAGATACAGCCTTGGAAACCCTAAAGGGCAGTTCTACTCTGTCTGATAGGATCACTATGAGTCAGAGATGGCTAGTGTTACTGGATTTGTTTTTTGTTTGAAAAGTTCCTTTACTTTAAGCAAACCCAGTATATGAAGTTTAGATTTAAAATACTAGGTGAGCCTTTACCAAATCTAAATGTAATTGCTTTAAATAACCCCACTATAGTATATTTAAAGGTGAATTGATATATATGAAACTCCTAAGGAACAATTGTATTCAGTGAAAATAGATCATAGGATTTGGGATACTCATGAATACTGTAGAAGAGAAAAATCATGCATGAATATCTTCACAGAGCATTTTAAGGATAAACATGTGAAAGGATGATTGTGAAAGTATATTCTTTTGGTTAACATTACTATTAACAAATAGTAATGGCACTTTGCCTCTCCAAAAAGAATTGGACTAAGGTTTTTCTGTTCTATCCTTTGCATGTCTCTTAGAAGTCATTTTTGTGAAACTGAACTTGTATGAAAGTAATGAACCTTTTTTAAAAAAACTGAAATACATAAGTACCCTATGTGCCTTTCAGTTCTGTTTTAGTCTCTGCTGACTTTCCCATGGTTTGTTTCCTTATTTACTTAATGACAAGAGAGTGTTTTACATTTAGTTTTTCATAAAATTGTCTAATTTAGCACATATCTTTTATTGCTGACCTAGAATTGTTTATAATAAAATATTACTCGTTTTTGGCACAGGAATGTAGTAATTTTACTTGGGAATGTTTTATTTGAGGCCCATATAATAGCAGATACACAGCTAATTAAATACATTTTTTGTTAGAATAACCACATTTTCTGAGGTAACACAGGAAATAATACCTACCTCTGCTTGTGGGGGTGGGAGGGACTCTCATTACTTTGTACAATGTTTTTTTGGCCTCAAATACTTAAAGTCGAAATTATACCACAGTTTTAGCTTTTTTATATCAGTTTTCTGAATGATATTGTGATCATTCTAATCCTAGAAAGTTTTGGCAAACAGAATACCTTGTTTTTTCATTATATTGATTATTCATGTTTACTAGCTTGCTTTCTTTTTTTGTGACGTGGATTATCATGAGGATAAATAGTAGGTTTGATACAGCAGTTAGCCCTTCTGTTTATGTTAACAGATTTTGTTTACGGTAATAGTCTTTACAGTTGTTTAGTCTTCAAAAACTTGGGTGCAGGCTACTAATCCTTGTAGTAGAACGTAATTGTATGTTTCTTATATATAGTTAAATTATTACACTTTAGGGTACATGTGGTCGTAGTCTTTTCCTTTTGAAAATAAATTGGATAAGTACAAGTTTTCTTGAAAATGAAAATGATTGTTTAATTCCTTAAAGTGTATCCATACTTAATATAGTTACGTATAATACCAATATTTTCAGAGCCTGTAAAACATTTTGATAGAACAATTATATTCCCTCTTTCAGATTGCCGTCTAAACTATATTTTGGAATAGGACATAAAAGGGAATTGTTCCTTTTTTACACTAATTAAAGTGACCACTTTTTGTAATAGTATATAAACAGATGATGTGTTAGTCTTACAAATAACTGAGCTAATTTTCATGTCATGACTGCTTCATATTCTTTGTATTCAATATTGAGTAGCTAATGGGATTATGATAACCTTCATTATGCTTTGACTTATATTGCATTGTAACTTTTTGAGATCACTTAAATTAACCTTGTCATAAAACAGAGGAATAAATTAATGTTAAACTATTCCAGAAAAGGGACGAATTTAAATTTTTATATGTTTTATCAACATTAAACCACTCAGTGATTGTGCAGAATAATCCCAGCCAGGTCATATTCCTTAGCCAGTTCTAAGTATGCCTCCAAAAATAGCTTTTAACCCACATTCTAATTGTTTAAGGAGAGAAAACAGTAGGCATAATAATTTCTCATAGTAGATTAGACCTAGTATTCTATCCTTTTTGGTGACATCAAAAGTAATAATAGGAGTAAGTGGATTTTTCTTGCCTAGCATGTGTCTTAACCCTTGTTGACGTTATGACTGTCCCACAAAAAATGTGAATTGCCCTTAATTCTATATTAGAAAGGCTGGGCAAACTTTTTTTCTGAAGAAAAGTATAGCAAATATTTGCAGCTGTGCAAGCCGTACTATCACTGTTGCAACTATTCAACTCCACTATTGTAGTACAAAAGCAACCATAGACAGTACAAAAGCAACCATAGACAGTACATAAGTGAATAACCATTATCCATTGAAACTATTTACAAAAATAAGCTGGCCTTATTTGGCCCATGGGCTAAGGACTTTGGAAATAATGTAGTACCCAGTGGCACCATGGTAGAAAGGCCTAGTGGTCCACTTCCGAAAAATCTGTCATTGAAAACCCTATGGAGGGAGTTCTGGTAAGATGATGGAATAGGCAGAAAAACTGCATTGACCCTCTTCAACAAAGAAAAGGGGAACCAATTTACAGATACAGAAAATAATCCCAGAGCCCTGAACTTTGAAGGGAAGGATATAGAAGTGGACTAAACTCCAACTAGTAGAAGAATTTGCATGAAAACACCAAAAACGGAGACATATGAAGCTTAGGTCTGGCAGCAATCCTGATGGCACAGACAGCTTGGATATTGCTGAGTGGTATAAGACCTAAGAATTAACCTAAAAATCAGCCCTGCTAGCCAGGGTCTACATGGAGGACTGCACTGGTGGCTGGTGAATAAAAGGGGAAGCAGCGAAAGAGGAAGGCAGGCTGAGCTGTGGAATTTTGCCTGTCCAGAGTGCACAGCCATTTTGAATGTTTCCAAGTGCTTTGACCATTTGGATATTTAAAGTGACAGCATACTCCCAGATTCCAGAGACTTAAGAATAGGCTCCATTTCCCAGGAACTGCAAACACATTAGGCACACCAGTGGCTACAAAGGTGTGATATTCCCCTTGTTACTCTTATACCCCACACCTTCTTGGTGAATGGAGGTGCAGCCATTCCTCACTCCCACCCACCTCCTGGGCTGGCAAGAATTCCATCCCAGTCTTTGTGCTTGGATAGAGCCTGGGTGCCCTGCCCCCCCCCACCTTTTTTTTAAGTTAGTTTGTTTTTGTCTGTTTTAAAATTCTTGCTATTCTTTTTGTCCTTTTTATTATTATTCTTTATTCTTCCCTGCCCAGCTTCTAGTTTTCAGCTTTTTCTCTCTTCCTTGTTCCTGGTTTTACATTTTTTCTTTGTTGTGGTTAACCCCGTTCCTTTTTCTTTTTGCATTTTTCCCATTTTTTCCTTCATTATTCTCCTATTATACTCTCTTAGCACCCTCTCCCCAGATATTGCAGAGATGTTTCTCTTTTCTGTTCTGTTCTTTTTCCTTTTCTTGGTGATTGTTCTTGTATGTATATGTGGTATTTTTTGTCCACTTGCTTTTAGATTTTTGATGCTTTTTTGATTGTAGTTTTGGTCTGAGTGGGAGACAGCAACCATGCCAATACAATGCAACCACATTGTAGCTCCTGCAGCTCCACTTACTGATTGAAAGCCACCACTTCCTTCTCCACAAACTGGCCAACAGTAAATAACCACAAAGAGGAGCCTGACTCACCCTTATTGCTCTTCATGAACAGTTAACACAGATCTAAATACAACAACCTCACAATGTCTCAGAGACAACAGACCATCACAGTCCACACAAAGAAGCAATATAAAGTTGTAGAAACAAGGGAGCAGGATACAGACCCAGAACACATCCCTGAGGAAGTAGCAGTATTGGAACTCCCTGATAAGGAATTCAAAAGAATTATATTTAGCTATCTTCAAAGGATTGAAAAACAGTTAAGGAAAACAGAGACAAAACCCTAGAACAATTTGAAAAGAAAATACAAGAACAAAATGACAAAATAAATGAAAAATAAGAAATGATCCAAAATCTATGGAGAGAAATCTAGATTAATACTAAATTTTCAGAAATAGATAACACATTGAAAAGGCAGAGGAGAATTGAGTCAATGGAAGACAGAATTAATGAGATTGAAAGCAAATACCTCATTACTTCTATGGAAAGGAATCAGTCAGAAGAAGGATCAAAACAAAATGAAGAAAGCCTAAGGTTCACGTGTGATACCATCAAAAGGAATAACCTACATGTAACTGGAATTCCAGACCAGGAAGAGAAAAATAAAACTATTGAGAAAATTGTCCAAGATTTGTTGGAAGAAAACTCCCTGATCTGATGAAAGATGAAACTATATCCATTCAGGAAGTCCAACGAACCCCAAACAGGATAGACCCTAAAAGAAAATCACCAACACGTATCATCATCAAACTCACCAAAACCAAAGACAAAGAAAGAATCCTGAAAGCAGCACGGGAAAAATGAACAATTACTTACAGAGGACAGCCAATAAGAATAAGCTTGGATTTCTCAGCAGAAACCATGCAAGCCAAGAATTATATACCAGGCAAAATTGTCCCTCAAATATGATGATGAAATTAGATTTGCAGATAAGCAGAAATTAAGGGAATTTGTTAAAACCAGACCAACCTTACCATAGATACTAAAGGGAGTCCTTTGAAAAGAGAACCAATAATACCAAACAACCACCAACCATTAATATATACAGGATGATATAACACAGAAACCAACATAG